CTACCAAGTGAGTTCCAGGAGAGGCGCAAAGCTACACAGAGAAACCCTGTCTCGAAAAACAAAAACAAAAACAAAAAAAAAAAAGGATCATAAAAGGAATTCTGTTTTAAATAACTTTCAAACCTGATCAAGCTGGTCACTACAAGTATCCTTTCCCTGGAAGGACAGTGGAGGAAAAGGGAGGCTTCTCTTTTAATCCAGGTTCTAGCCCTTCTCTCTCTGTTCTAGGCTCCACCTCCCCCAGAAAAGAAACAATGGGAGTTACTAGGAGTGGAAGACTCATCCCAAGAAGAACATTCCACATTTCACACACACATTAGCATCTGAAGAAAGCACTCACCTTATGAACATTGCCTTCGGCTAACCTGATTCAATCTGTTGTAGCTCTTTTTGAAAGTTGGTCTTGTGACTTCAAGTTTAGGCTCTAAGTATTACTGATTTCTTCTAGTTTCAATGCACCTTCCCGTTTCCTTACTTTTTGAGAAAAGATCTCATGTAGCCCCTTGCCTTCACTTCTCAAGTGCTGGAATTACAAGCAGGCCCCAACCCACGGCGCTGAGGAAGCAAACCGGGCATGTCCTACACACTAGTTCAGCACTCAACCAACTGAGCCACTTCTCCAGACCAAAACACCAAAGCAAACTAGCCAGGGGCAGTGTCACAGGCCTGTAATCCCAGCACTCGGGAAGTGTAGAATCAGTTTAAGGCTAGCCCTGGCCACATATTAGCAAGTTCAAGGCCAGCCTGTGCCACACCAGACCCTATTTCAAAAAGCAAAAAATAAGCAACAAAAAAAAGTTCTTTTTTGGTGTTTTGAAACAGGGTTTCTCGGTGTAGCTCTGAGTGTCCTGGAACTCACTCTGTAGACCAGACTGGCCTCAAACTCACAGAGATCCACCTGCCTCTGCTCCCAAGTGCTGGGATTAAAGGGATGTGCCATCACCACTCAGTAACAAGAAAAATTTCTACCCAGCATTTTTAAATCAGGAAGGATCCAAATAACATATCTCAAGCTAGTGAAAAGCAGGTGTCTGTAAGGTTAAACAGCTCAATAGCTTTTATGTCATCTGTCATCCACCTGTATTAATTTGAAGGTTCATGACCTTTTTTAAGCCCTTTCCCATCCTATAGGATTGTGTCCTGGGTGAAGAGGAGTGTATCATAGCCTTTCAGTAAATGGCATCACTGGGTTTCCACAACTACTTAACTTGCAAGCAAGCAGGGACAAACATGCATCCTGACCTGATGATGGCCCACCTTGTCCATAAAACTACATGCGTTCAGTTACAGACTCTTAGTAAGTTCAGTTACAACTTACAAATTGTACATTTATTACCTAGTCTAGTGACAAAGCAGAATAGCATTCCAATTCTATGAAGAAAAAAAATACTCAGAAAAAGACCAAGAAAACACACATCAACACGTCATTAATATATATATATATATAAAATCTTGGGTGGATGATTTTTACTGAGAACATCCTATAATTTTTTATCTCTCTGCCATTTTTTTTTTTCCAAGACAGGGTTTCATTCTATAGCCCAGGATGGCTTAGATATCACTTTGTGGCTCATGCTGGCCTCAAACTCATAACCTCTGTGCAGGTGAGAGTCATCATTTCTGACTTTCCTTTTCTTCTGGTTTGTTTTTAAAACAGGGTCTTACTATGCTGCCTAGGTTGGTCTCCGGGCATACCACCATGTCTGGCGTATTTCAGTAGAAAACATGTACTAATACATTTTCAGTAAAAATAGTTACCTAAAAAGATACACACACACACACACACACACACACATATATATAGCTATATAGATATATATACACACACAGGGTTTCTCTGTGTAGCCCTGGCTGTCCTGGAACTCACTCTGTAGACCAGGCTAGAACCAAATCCAGAGATCTGCCTGCCTCTGTATCTCAAGTGCTGGGATTAAAAGTGTGCACCATCACAGCCTGGCTACAAAGCTATACTTTATGCAGAAAAGGTTTGAAGACTTTAACATGAGGACATACATTAGTTCAAGATCTTTAAGTAAAAAGACAGACAACTAGGAGCTGGGGCATAATGATGAAAAGGACAAATTACACAGTTACAATACAGAAAGCCAAAAATTTCATAAAATGCTAATTACGACTATTTTTAGGTAGATTAATCTCCTGTATGCTATTCCTAATTTTTCTTTATATAAAATGCATATTATATTCAAAGTTAGTGCTCTGGTGCTCAGCTGTATCTCTAGTCTGTGAATATTTTATTGTATACAGACATTTCTAATGTCATCAGTACTTGTTCTAGTAGGCAAATTTGCTCTCCTTCCCCAGTACTGTAGATTGAACTGAGGTCCTTTGCACATGCTACCACTTTGACATATATGACCAGCCCTTCATTTTTCACTTGGGCACAAGGTCTTGCTAGATTGCTGAGGCTGGCCCGGAACTCACTCGGTGGCCCAGGTAGGCCTGGAGCTCATCATCTTCTTGCCTCAGCCTTCATAGCAGCTGGGATTACAGAGCCGCACCTCCTTGAATGTAATTACTTAAAACTCGTGAAAAGATTCTACCAAATGAGCTGCATCCCCAGGTCTAGAGTATGGAATTTTCAAAAACATGAACTGTTTCCCCTGTATAAATCCCTTTGTCTCCACTCCAGAGCTCCGACTCGAGGGAGGGTACTAGGTGACAGAAAAGAGCCCCGGGAGTCCTCTTATAGGAAACAACCAAATAATGTGAAAGGCAGAAGCTTAGACTCAAGTGTGATGGTTCAGGTTAAGTAAGGACTAGATTTTCTCCTCACCATATATTTCTCTTTCTGCTCTTTGCTCAGTCCAGAATTTCTTTTCTTCCTGAGTTCAGCCACCTTTTCCTTATACCGCAGCTGCCTCTCTGTTGGTGCCTAAAAGAAAAACAAAACAGAGATGCTCACTAGAAAACTCATTATGAATTTGATTTTAAGGTTTTCTTCTTTTTTTCTTTAGGATTTTATGTAACCCAAGCTGGCCTCAAACCTGGAACTTCTGTTCTTGCTTCTATCGCCCAAGTGTTGGAATTACAAATCCAATCTATTATGTCAGGCTTTTTTTTTTTTTTTTAAAGAGAGAAAGGTCTTCTCTACATCGTCCTGGCTGGCAATCCTTCTCTCTCAGTCTCTAGAGTGCTGGGATTATAGGCCTGGGCCACCATATTGAGCTTTTAAGGAAAAAAAAAATTTTTTTTCCTAATGAAAAAACAGTTGCCAGAAACAGTACAGCCACACAGTTAATAATATGCTAATTTTACAATTCTAAATTAGTAGGTTCTTTTATTATCCAAACCACTGTTCTTACTGCCCTTTCAGGAATGCAAATTTATTTTAATTAATATGAAGAGTAAAGTCACAAAGGAGGAAGGAGGAGCATGTGATTCATGTTTATAATCCCAGCAGAAGCAGAATGATAGCTGTTAAGTTCCAGGCCAGTCTGGTCTACATAGCCAGTTCCAGGCCTGTAAGGGCTATACAGCAAGATTCCAAGTAAAAAACTAAAATAAAATGGAAATCTCTACCAAAATAGAAATAAAGATTATTTTAACTATATAAATACTGATTTCTAAGTAACCGTTACTTAATGTTCCATCAATGGTGGTATTCAAAGAAATCCAGCAAACATAAAACCTATGACATAATAATAAAAGTATAAGGATTTATTACAGATTGCTTTTGCCTGTCAAGCACTGAGGTTAGGTACTATACACACTAGATGACTACCCCAACAGGTTGGCATTATTCACGCCTTCATATTAACAAAGAAATGAAGTTTACCAGCTGGCCTGTCCAGGACAACACAGAGAGAATGAGAGAATCAGAGTATTCAGATCCAGATGTCTCTCCAAAAGCACACGTCTTTCTTACCACTGTGCCTCCTCTGCTAGTCACCTACAATCTAACTGCAGAAACAGATACTTAGATGACAGCTATGACTAATACTTTACAAAGGCTGACATTTGGGGGAAAGTACATGAGAAGAATATGTGAGAAAGATTTACTAATTGCAGGAGAAGGTCTTGGAAGAATTCCTATAAGAGCTAAGACTTGCTCAAAGCCTTGAAGGATACATATGTAATCTCTTCTTGGTAATGATACAGAGTTCTCAGAAAGATCAAAGTCATTTAGGAAGAAGCAAGGCATTAAGTGCAATCTACGCAGCCTGAATGCTCAGAGAGGAAGATTAGGACAGAACAAGGATGCTTTCTGCAAATCACAGAAAGAGAGAAGTAAAAACTGGGACAACTGACAAGTGTCAAATACTGAGGAAATGAAACAGGTGATGCTGAAAATATGCCAGCAAAGTCAAAGGTGTTTGAGAGTCAACCACAATGGGTTAAAATAAGGATGAAAAATGAAGAAATGGAAATGCAATGTAGCCTTTCAAATAACCAAAATATTTTTATACTATTACTACTACTATTATTACTATAAATAGCTTGATTCCTCCACTTATGAGAAAGAAGTGTTTGCTTTATGAAAAATTACTAGTTGAAAGCCAAGCATGATTTCAAGCTGGAAGACCAGTGATTTTGATGTGCCATGGGAAACAAGAGGCATGGATTTGCCTACAAAGACAGTAATGGGGCAAAGGAGACCCAAAAGACAGACCTCAGACTGTGGCTGGCCAGAGCTTTCACAAGGCCCATACCTGGTGCCTGGTTGCATGCCTGTTGTTGTCATCTTGCCTGTGGGACAGCATCCTTTCTTCTATCTGCTTATCCCGGCTCTGTGCTCTCACCTGCAACCATCAACAATGTCAATAAATTCACCTGCTTCTAAGACTACATATACTTAAAGCATAAGAATCTGTGATAATCGCCGGCCGCGGTGGCGCACGCCTTTGATCCCAGCACTGGGGAGGCGGAGGCAGAGCTAGGTGGATCTCTGTGAGTTCAAGGCCAGCCTGGTCTACGGAGCGAGATCCAGGACAGGCACCAAAGCTACAGAGAGAAACACTGTCTCGAAAAACCAAAAAAAAAAAAAAAAAGAATTTGTGATAATCCCTTGTATTTGCACTATTCTTTGAAAGTAAAAATATTCTTATTACTAATTATTGCTATCTCTATTAGAAAGATATGAAGGCAAGGCTCACACGGTGCTTTCTCAGCCACTAAATATCAAAGACAAGAAATGATCCCAGCACATGTTGTACAGTTGAGGCTTGCTGTAAGAAGGACGACTCTGGCCTGGACTTCTCTCACTATGCTGACAGGAAACTGTGACGAAGTACAAGGGAGTGACCACGTATGAAGAAAACATCAGAAAAATCTGGGCTCAGGATGAGCATGGTGACATCTGCCCATGGCCTTAGTTAACAGACAGGTTGAGACAGCTTAGGAGTTCAAGACCAGCCTATGCAGCATAAAGAGACAAGCCCCTGTCTGGAGGACTGGGAAGGGGAATGGGGGCTGAAGAAAAGGAAAGAGGGGAAACCTGAATTCAAGTCTACAGGCAAACAACTCTGTAGATACAACACCCCAGAGAAATCACACCAGCTTTCATTAGCTTCCGTTTTACCCTTTGAGAACTGATACCTCACATCTGCTTATTGGGTTGAATCACTTAGCAGGCTCGAATCAGACAACCAGTGTTTCCCACATCTGCAGTATCAACAAATGGTACCACCTCAACAGCTGATCAATTCAAAACTTGTATGTAATCCTTTGTTCCTTGTAGCACGAATCTTAAAAGATCTTACTAATAAAAACAAACCTGGAGCTAGGTATTGGGATGAACGTTGAAAAATCAGAGAAACAGAACAAGCCACAGCTAACCTCACCTCGCCAATTCCTCAGCTGATCTTGTTTCCTCAAACTGGAAGCCTCTGTATCCTCATCCGAATGGATCTCAGCTGAACTGCTACTAAAAATCTAAAAACTTAACAGGGACTCTATCTAGTTCCTGGTACTCATGCCTTATATTTACCTTTCTGCTTCCTGCCATCACTTCCTGGGATTAAAGGTGTGTGTCACCACGCCTGGCTGTTTCCAGTGTGGCTTTGAACTCAGAGATTCAGACAGATCTCTGCCTCTGGGATGCTAGGATTAAAGGCATGTGCTACCACTACCTAAACCTATGTTTAATATAGTAAGTGTTCTGTCTCTGACCCCCAGATAAGTTTATTGGGGTGCACAATGTATCAACCAGTTTCTTTTTCTCTACACTGAGTCCTTCAAAACACATCTTGAATTCAATCTTTGTTAAGACATTTTACCAACATCACACTAGTCCAAGCTACCATTTACTGGAAGAACTAAGCAGGCTTTCAATCCATCTATCCTGTGTCATCTCTTCCTTCCCCAGTCATTTTCCACATGCTCAACAGTTCTTTCAATGACATACGCTTCCTCTACAGGACCATCCAAATGCTTCCACTGCCATCAGAATAAAAACAGAGTTTTTGTGTTAAGGCCTACAGGCCTTTATGATCTCAATCCTGCTTCTTCATTTTGTTCCATGGCACACAATCTACTCTCCAGCCCAGCAGTTTGTCTCCAGCGCATGGCCACTGCACTTACTATTCCTTCTTAGTTATCTCTACTCCTGGGTCTTTACATATTGTTACTCTGACACCATCCATGGTCTCTACTGCATGCCAATCTCAGGGAGGGCTTCCTTGACCTCCTCCAGCAAAAGCAATATGTTACTTCCACCTTAGAAAAGTCTCTCTCTTTTTGTTTCTCATGGTATTTATAATTACATAAACTTATATTTATTTATTAATTTACAGGTTTCCCCATGAGAATGCAAACTCCTTGATCATAGGTATTTTAGTTTTTTATTTTTATCATAGTCAACTGAATCCTTAGTTATCCATAAAGTTACATGCAGCCACAAAAAAATGTAAGACAATAAAGAGGTTTACTGCAATCATGTATATGCAGGCCATTTAAAATTTAAGAGCTTTCATCAGGCTAGGGAAGTAGCTCAATATGGCGCACTTGCCCAGCATGTACAAAGGCTTTGATTCCTAGTGCTCTCCTCCAAGCACACGGTCCAGGAGTAAAAAGGATGATGCTCGTCTCACTTCCCCTGTACAGGACATACAGGAAAAATTTATAACAGAAATGTTTCCCTTTATTCAGGATTTTCTTCCCTAGTTTGAAATTCTCCTCAAATTTCTAAAATAAACTGCTTAAGGTACTTTGTAGATATTGCTTCAAGCCAAGCTCTTCAAAGTTATGTTTCAGGAAGACTGGTGTAAAACAAAGCACTATCAGATTGATATATGTGAAGATAAGCAGTAGAGGAACATTATGAAACACCATCACAGTTATTTTCAGAGAAAGAAGTACGTGTTTGGTCAGCTTCCGAATCAGGTGCTGACACCGCCCGCCATGCTTGCTCTCAGCCAGCTGAAGGAAGACAACAGCAAGAGCCAACACAGAAACTGTCTCAGACAGATTTGGAATGAAAACAAAGAGCAGGGTCTTTGACAACATGAAAAATACATGCTGTAAGCATTTCAAGTTTTATTTGGTGAAAATTTAAACATGTGAAGAAACACGTTCCCAACCCCACCCTGAGACCTTGTAAATACAAGCAAGTTTCCGAGGAAAGGAGAACAGGAAATTGACTTCTTTTCCAAATGAGACCTGCTCACACAAGCATAAACCTGTGACCAGGCCTTGTGAACAAAGAACAAAAAAGAACACTTTGGTGCAGTCTAAGTACTTAGTTTGGATAACTTGTCCAAAGACTACCTGAGCCCTCTATTTAATTACTATTTGCAGTTCTTGCTTCCCCATAATTAGCATGATTCCATTCTGGTAGCAGGAACCCACACAGGAATGCACAAAAGAGATCTTAGGCTCGAGTCTCAAACACATCAACCCCAAGTCCCAAAGGTTATTTAGGAACTGTATTTTGAAGAATATAAAAGAACTAGCCAAGAATAGATGTGACTGATAGGAACAGAGAGGAACAGTATTCTGCAGAAATGAACAGGAGAGGGACACTTGAAAATGGTTGAAAAAGCAAAACAGCTTCACGGATTTGTAGAAACCTAAAGGGGAACAGTGGGATCAACTATGCAAACTCTGCCTGAGAAGAAAAGGTTTGTCCCTGGCAGAATATGAAGTCAGTTACCAAGGGAATGAATGTGCTAGTGGTGAAGTTCCCAATATTCTGAAGATATTAAGTTCTTCCCTAACACTCATTACATATGACAATTCTTTTATTTATTCATGTAGCTAGTGTTTGTTAAAAAAAAACTTTTATTCATTGCTCTTCCACTGACATGGAAGAACAAGACCTTGTCCCCTTGTTACTGCTGTACCCCGGGAGCTTAGCAAAGTTCAGGTCAAGCAGCAAGCATTCAAGAGCACACTCTGAATAAAGGAGCACACGGTTACCTTGCATTCATCAGCTGAGAGGTTATGATAGAGCGGGCATCCTGAGATGGAGAAATGTCTCTCGTGTTTTCCTGTAAGATGTCCTGTTAAAGGAGGGAAAACTTAATTTCCAGGAAGAACATGCACACTTACGAAATGAGATTTTTTTTCTTGACAACAAATCTGCTATTTTACTTTGCGTTTTAACAAATTAATGTTACCAAAAGGAAGTGCTGTCAAGATCATGACTTGCAGCTGGGTGGGGGTGGTGCATATCTTTAATCTCAGCACTCAGGAGGCAAACGCAGGTGGATCTGAGTTCAGAGCCAGCCTGGTCTACAGAGTGAGTTCTAAGATAGCCAGGGCTACACAGAGAAACTCTGTCTCAAAAAACAAACAAACAAAAAAACCCAACCAAACAAACAAACGAATAAAACCTTTGTTAAGTTAATCTGGTCTAATGAATTTAAAAGAAGTATACTGTTCTTTCTACTATGCAAAACTATCCTAATCTACATTTAACCTTTCAATAATCAAAAGAAATTCATTAAAAATGAAGAAAATGGCCAGGTGGTGGCACACGACTTTAATCCCAGCATTCGGGAGGCAGAGCCAGGCAGATCTCTGTGAGTTCCAGGCCAGCCTGGGCTACCAAGTGAGTTCCAGGAAAGGCGCAAAGCTACACAGAGAAACCCTGTCTCAAAGAACAAACAAACAAACAAATAGAAGAAGAAAATGGCCATTTCTACAATATGGAAACTTTTTTTTTTTTTTTTTTTTTTAAATGTATACTGTGTTCTGTCTGCATGTATCCCTACACACCAAAAGAGGACACCAGAACTCATTACAGATGGCTGTGAGCCACCATGTGGGTGCTGGGAATTGAACTCAGGACCTCTGGAAGAACAGCAGGTGCTCTTAACCACTGAGCCATCTCTCCAGCCCGATGGAAACATATTTGGATAATCTCGAACAAGATTCAACATGCTTTTTTTTTGAAGAATGAATATTTAAAGCTTTGGACTTCTATAACTAAACTCTAAGATAGGGCAGTTAGCATAAGGCCTTCTTGGGGAAAACACTACGGATGACTAACTAAAAGGCAGTCAGTCTTCCTGTCTTCCCGCTCTCCTTCCTGGGGTGAATGGGAACAGAACCCAGGGCCTACACCATGCTAGACAAGCACTCTATCACAGAACTATATTTCTACTCATTCTTCTATTTTTCAGACAGGTTTTTGTTTTGTTTTGTTCTTGTTTTTTTTCTGAGACAGGGTTTTACTGTGTAGCCCTGACTGTCCTGAAACTCACTCCATAGACTATGTTGGCCTCGAACTTAAGAGAGATACCCCTGCCTCTGGCTCCTGAGAGCTGGGATTAAAGGTATGTGCCACTGCTATCCAGCTAGACAAGTGTTATTATTACTGTTGTTGTTATTATTACTATTATTAATGTGTGTGTGCTAAAGAGGACAATTTTTGGAAAATGGTTCTTACCTTCACCTTGGTTTTGTTGTTGTTTATAATTTATTAAAACTTATTATTATAAAGAGCCTACATACAAACAAACAAAAAACCTCACACAACCCAGGGAATAACCAGAGATTTCAATGAATTTCTGTCCAGTTAAGATAACCAATCTAAAGCTGTGGAGTTTTACAATGGGTTTCATACTTCACTATTAAATATATGCACCTCTCCAACCAACAAACCCAAAACAACCCATGACAGAGTTAAAACTAGAATATTAGCTTTATACTCTCTTTCATGACTTAAGTGTCCATTACTTGCATTCAGTCCTATTCAGCTATTATTTTCCCTTTCTTGTTCTTTTACATGTTATTTTGTGCCCATATGTACATGTATAGTGCGTGTATAAAAAGATCTGCACATGAAGGAGAACATGTGGTGTTTGTTTCTTTTGCCTTCCACCTTGTTGAGGCAGGATCTTTTTTGTTTTGGGTGCTATACTCCTGGCTCTCCAGCTTCCAATAATAATTCTACCTCTGCCTCCTATTTCAGAGTAGTAGGAATGCTGGGCTTAACAGATACACTTTATGAGGGTCCCACTGTCAGGCTTGCTTTTAAGGAAAGAACTTTTACCCACAGAACCATCTTCCTCGGTCTCCTTAGGCAGTGTCTGTCTGGCTGTGTCTGTGTCTCTATCTCTCTCTCTGTTTTGAGACAGGATCTAACTATGTAGCTCTGGCTGTGCTGGAACTCAAGCTCAGCAATATGAGTTCAATCCCTGGAACCCACATAAAGGCGAAGAAGAGAAGAGCCTCTATTCTCCACACCCATGCTGTGACAAGTGCACCCACCTCTATACACATAATATAATAAACTTTAAAAACACAGAAAACTGAACATTATTTCTTTGCTACACTCTTCCAAGAGGATTATAAAACACCAATGATTCAAAGAGCAGAGAGATAATGCTAATAACGGAAAAAGACAAACTAGTCAAGCTAAACTGTAAGCCTACAAAAACCTTCACCTTTCTAAGAACACCCAACACCCTCATCTACCTGCCATAGGTGTGCACCTGGCTCATGCACCTGCACACAGCACACAATTTTCTTTCAAAAAGTTCACTATTCTTTCATGGTGAAAAGTTGTAATTTTTGGGTTAAGGAGACATTGGGATTTTAAAATTATACAGCAGGGAGGTGGGGTTGAATCTAGGAGTTAGGGGAAAGCATTTGATCAAAACATACAGTATGAAATTCTCAAAAATAAATAAAAACAAAAACTCACAGCATAATCCATAGAGTAAGCTTTGAAAGGTGAAAATAATCCAACTATGAAGGAATGGTATTTACAACATTCATGTGGTCAGTTCTCTGGGATTGTACTTTTAGTAAGGCATGGTGGAACATGCCTGTAATGCTAGCACTTGAGAGGCTGAAACAATTTCTCTAGGGGCTGGAGAGATGATTCAGAAGTTTTTGAGTACTCGTTGCTCTTCCAGAGAACGGAGGTTCAGATCCGAGCACCCACAACCACCTGTAAATCCAGTTTGGATCCTACAACCTTTTTGACCTCTTCAGGCACCAGGTACAAATGCAGTATATATACATACATGCAGGCAAAATTCTCATATACATAAAATAAATCTCAAAATAACAACAAAAAAAAATCTTTAAAAAAATTTTTTAAAGAGAATTTCTATAAATTTGAGGCCAGTGTAGGCTCCACAGTGACCACCAGGCCAGTCAGGGTCAGCAAGAACCTGTCTCAAAAAAATTAAGGTGAGAGGAAACAGATTACAACTTTAGAGAGCCACACACAGTCATACGCTGCCTAATGGTTCAGTAAACAGGGGACCTCTAAAAACAAAAACAGCACCACACAAATAAGGGTTTCATAATATTACAGTGGGGCTGAAAAGTTCCTACAGTTTGTGATATTGCAGTTGCCACAACGGGTAAAGTGGGATGCACAACTCATGTATTTGTGGTCACACTGATATAAACAAACCTACTAGGCTGATTATAGAAAAATACGACACATACAATTAATTCTATATAGCACATAATGACTGACAATATAAGCAACTATGTTATTGGTTTAGGGCATTATATTTTCATCCTTTTCTTATTTACCTAGAGATAGTCTCACTAGACAGCCCAGAGCAGCCTTGAACTCAACTGCCTTCTCCCTAGGTCTCCCCAGACCTGAAGTGAAGGCACTTGCCACATACCCAGCTCATCTTTATTGCAGTGTAGTCCTTCTGATTAATAGAAAAGCTCACAGTAAAGCAGCATCCAGTTTACAGTGCAAGCATCCCAGACATTTTGAGTTTACTGAGTCTCTAAACCGCACCATGTTCTTCTGTCTGACTTACTGCAGGCCGCTTGGTTCACTAGGGTGCAGGAGGAATAGGCTGTGCTATATACAAATACATGCGCATACCCCACAGCCTAAGTGTACAGTAGGCTAAATCATCTAAGTTTGTCAAAGTATATGCTCTCAAAATATATCCTTGCCATTAAGCAACATGAGGCCATTTCTTAAGAGAAAAACTATTCTCTGATCAAATACCATGTATAAAGTGCAGCATCACTACTTGGCAAGCTTGCTTTCAAAAACTGCACATTTTACAAAAAAAAAAAGGCTGTGGCAGTTCTGTTTAGCAAGTGTAGTGACACCAATTTACCAACTGCTTCTAATCACTAGCATCTTTAACAAAGCATGTTTAAAATTATTTACCTTTAAAAAACACATAACACTGCGGGCACACATCATAGACCACAGTACAAGCATAAAGATAAATCCATACTGAAAGGCACCTTATCTATCAGCCAGCACCTTCCAACTTCAGGCAAAGGCTCACTCGCAACAGCTACACCCCAGCTCACTCAAGCAGTACAACTAAGCTTCAAATCACTGCCAGAAACCCTAACGTGATTCACCAGAAGTTAAAAGTCTGGAGAAGCCGGGCGGTGGTGGCGCACGCCTTTAATCCCAGCACTTGGGAGGCAGAGGCAGGCGGATCTCTGTGAGTTCGAGGCCAGCCTGGGCTACCA